CACCATACAGAAATGTTTGAGGTAGTTAGAAACAGTGTTGTCATTGCAGAGTTAGGGCCCATTCAGTTCAGGTTGTCATCACAATTCTTTAAAAACAAATTGAAGGGATCCTTGTCAACAGTCTAAAATAGCAATCTTGTGTTGGTCACAGATACTAGAGTGTGTGACAGACTGATCCTGGTGAATGTTGTAGTTTCAGGAAAAACACACAGTAAACAAAAATATGAAGTAGCAAAAGAAGTTTCAACACAACAGACAGTTAATGACAAGATTCACAATCAGAAAATGAGAGAAATATACAGTATGTATGCACTAGTGCTACACCATATTAGTGTTTGTTATCTATTCTACATGTTTTGTTTGTATTTTTGTGGATAAGTTGGTTATCAAATACCATAGCTTCTGCCTCCATAAATGGTAATCAATACATTTCTCATAAAAAAAAGATTATAATGAGCAGTTCTTAAATATGAGAGGATTCTGCTACAACTCATGTTTATCCCAAAGCTTCGTAGTAAACATATGCTTTCATAAAAGAATATAATTCGATCCCGAAGTCGGGTTTAAGTTATTACAATACGAGAAAAAAATATAGATTATAGTCCTTTGTTTTAAAATACTGGTTATAGCTTATTAAGGAAAATGTGTTAAAATTGTCATGGTAGATTTTTATAGAAGTAGTATAGTAGAAATCTAGTTTTTTAAAGTTAAGTAAAGATCTTTGTGAGGGGAATAAAATGTTGTGCATCTCATGATCATTCCACTGATTCACACACAGTTAATCTTAATGCTAGAGCCTTTCACTGATAGGAGATTTACTCTACTCTGTGTTATATTGATAAAGCTGAGCTACGCGCACACACACACACACACACACACACACACACACACACACACACACACACACACACACACACACACACACACATTTTGAATATGTACCGGCATATTGTAGTAATGAGACCAGAGGAGGAAGGGGACGCCGCTCAGACCCCCAAAACACAAAACACTTGCATTTGTCCAAGTTGGAACTCGGGAGAGAGACAGAGAAGCCACAAAGGTTGTTTGTATCCCAGTGAGCAGCGATGGTGGGGTGAAGGGTTGTGGGTAAAGCTTACTGCCAAGGTTCCCAGCCAACTTAGCACGCCTTTTCAACTTCCCCTCACCCTTCTGTCCTTTCATTGCACAGACTAACAGATCTTGTGTTGTGAAGTTTTGCACTATTGTCCAATTATTACTGATATGTTCATTAAAAAATAATTTTCTGTATCCTCCAAAAATCATTCGCCTCACATCAACTGAAACTGTGCGACACACACAAGTGTGGGTTTTTGCAGCTGATGAGATTTTCACTCCTTTTTGGGGAGGAACACATACTCTGGATATTTCTAGCAGCCTCTTTTGAACAAAAAGATGATCTCGTGTTGGCCATTAGCAATGAACAGGGCAACACAGGAGTGAAACCATTAGTCAATCAATCAATTAGTCGATCGACAGAAACAATTTTGATATAATAAAATAATAATTTAGGCCATTTATCAAGTACAAGCTCTAAACATTCACTGGTTACAGCTTCTTAAAGGTGAGGGTTTGCTGTTTTATGTCATTTTTATTGAATCTATTAGGTGGTTGGACTGTTGGTCGAATGAAACAATCTGAAGAAGTCACTTCAGGTTCCATGAACTTGTAGTTTTTTTTTTACAGCATTTTTTATGCTAAAATATAATCTAAAAATCTAAATTATAACCATTACAATCATCCATAATGACATACATCATTAGCTGCAGCTCTGGCAACACATCTGAAATAATAATAATAACTCACTCCTTTTCATTCCCTACACCTCTCTCCTCCCCCTGCAGTTCACACCAGCGGTCATTTTCGGGTGTAAAGGACCTTGCACTTGGGGTTTAGGGGAGGTGGGCCCTCAATTAGCGAGCCACGCGTCCTTTGGAAGAAAGAGGAACTCCATGAGGAGTCCTTAACGACTGGCCTCTGTTCACTCTGCTCTGACCTCATGACCTCAGGGTCACAGGCCACAATACACTCCCATCTGGAGCTGTGTTATCGGCTCTATGACGAAGGGGATGGACAGCAACCCTCTGCATTCAGGCCGAGCTACGTGACGCTATTGAAGGCCTGAGAACAGCGGTCCAGCTCCAACAGAGACAACTATCTTAACAACCACCCAGCTTTAGGAAATTCAATGTCGCCCTCTGATCAGGTCTGATAATGTGGATCTGTCTTTTCTAACTGAGCTGGAACAAAAAGAAGAAAGCCTGCACACGTACTGCACACCGGGAGAGCTGCCTAGGGCAACTATAATCCTGTATTTTTGGTCACTGAGCAGCACTAATATGGATCTGTTTCGAGGGGGAAACGCTTTGCTCAATTGCACATTGCTGGGAGGGAAAAGTGCTTCACATTTACCTTCATATGAAACAGCTCTCATTTTGTATTCTGCATAACAACCAGTGCACATACAAAATAATAATGATGGAAAGAGAGTTTTTGGTCCATCATTCCGATCCTAAACTTACTATTAAGTGATTACAATATCACACTAAACCTGTGGTGGATCTACTCAATAATTGCACTTAAGTACAATTTTGAGGTAGTGTACTTGTACTTTCCTCGAGTATTTCCATTTTATGCAACTTTATGCTCGTACTCCACTACAATCTGGATAAAATGTTTTGTACTTTTTACTGCACTAAACTTTAGTTACTAGTTTATTTGTTGATGGATTGATGATCATTAATCTGAAAATGTATTATTGTTTCCCTGGAGGGGGGGGGGGGCACTGAAATTTCTAAACACACTGAAATTTCAAGGTTAAGAATGCAGTTGTGTGTTAACCTTTTGAATCACAATTTCTCAGAGCCCAATGAGATGTCTTGTTTAGTTGGACGTACAATCCAAAAATATTCAAATTACAATCACAACAGATAAAATCAGTGGATGTAAAGATTAAGCCATTATAATAAATAGATTATTTACTACTAAGTGACTTAGATGAATTGATTATTTGCTTAAACACAAATTGGGTCATGACTTAACATGCATCAAATACACATTTTGTCACCTGTGAAGTTAGACTTTCCTGATTCCTACTTCAACTTCTGCTCAACTTTACCTCAAGTTTACATTTGTCAGTTTGTACTCAATTAAATGCATTTATACGTAGGAATTACAAAGGAACTGAAAATCATTGTTGACAAAATAACAGAAAATAATAACATACTGTATACTAAAGGTAACTTTAATGATTTACGCTGTATCTATTAAAATGCACAGCTGTCTGAAGTACTATAGTAAGTTGTAGATGTGATTTGGTTTGAGGGATTCCTCTCATACAGCTGCAAACTATCTCATTCACTTTCTTCACCTACAAAATCTGGTAAAAACGAAAAAGTACTCTACAGTATTTATGCCTCATGTCTTACACAACACAGAATAGCAGCACATTCAAGTGTACATTGATACTTTGAGGAGGGTAAATGTGTGTAATGCAAAGTGTTTGACAGTAATATAATAATGTGACTTAATTTAATAGAACATTAACAAACTTTACAGCAACGTTACATGCAGCCAGTAAGATGAAATGACATGTTAAAGCTGAAGTATCTACACAACATAGAAAACAAACATGTATCCTCCTAAAATTCTTGTAACTGATTAAGTGTTTCCCATCATGCATCACACCAAGCAATCATCTTGGCAGCAGCTTTGTTTGTTTCAGGCTTTTTATTGATAATATGATAGCGATCAAAATATTTTGTATGGACTCAAGCATTGACATTTTACCATTGTGTTGTTTCCTACAGTTCCAACACACCATGGATCAATACCGCCATCTGGTGGCGGAATAACTGTGGCTGCTGTTTCACAGACGATATGCAGGGAAACCTGTGCAAACTACCAGGACGTTGTGGGCTGATTAACATTTAAACTGTTAATTACATACAGAGATAACCAGGCCCCCGATAAAACTTACATTTTTGCATATTAAACAACTTGTTTGTGGAATAAAATAAACGGTTTGGGGTGAGAGAGGATCATTAAACGCTAGCTCAAGTCACCTGCGGCAGGTAGGCTAGTTCACACAAAATAAGTTTGCATTTACAACTGGTTGTCTTCCTTACCGCTGAATATTTCACGGATAACTTGATAACTTTAACCTGATGCTACAAGCACATATTCACCAGCATGAATATACTTACTTCCACTTTGTGTTTCTCTTGTTTCCCTTCAATCACAAACGGTGACGTAACATTTGTGCCGCTTATGGATAGGTGTAGGTGCACATGCACGTTGGTCACATGACTTTTAATTGCGTTTTGGTCGTATTGTAGCCAATACGTTGAAACTTCCTTAGAAAATCGTTATTCAAGACACACACAGTTTGTCTTTGATTGTTATTTTCTATCTAGGTGCGAACTGATCCGTTTGTATTTACTTTTACTATTTTTCACTGCTTTCTAGAAAAACAAACTTTCTGGTAGTGTATTTATCAGTCTGTTTATTCATTGACTTTTTTGTTTGTTTTTGAATGAGGTAAGCAGTATTTCTTCCATTGTCATGGAACAGGAATTTTCACTAAAGTTGTTGATACAAATAGCATGACCTTAAAGGCATTCATAAATTAATTAACCAACTAGAAGGTAATTATAGTTACCACTTATGTCATAGGATGTCACCTGATCAAATGGTTGCAGCCTCAGATTTCATGCAGGTGTTCTTGCATAAGGAAAGGTCTAGTTCATCTGTCCCATTGATTTTACTAGGCTACATTTAAGAGTTTCACACAAAATACAGAATTGTGGAACCCATAAAGGCCAAACAGACATACTTTTTTGTCCATCAGTAAAAAAAATAAAACTGCTCTGTTGTCAGTCTGGGTGTCAGCTTATTTTTTTCATCTTTTAGCCACTATGTCCACTTAAATAGGAAATGAAGCCCACACATGGCACTCAGTGTAAAACAAGAGAATGGTTTATTCTTTGCTCTGTTCTACAAAACTTTATTACAACATAAAGCTGACGAACAAAACTGTGTCTGCCGGAAATAAAAGGTTTCTCACAGAAAAATGCAACAGCAATTACAGTTGTGCAAACTAATATATATATATATATATATATATATATATATAGTGTTTATTGACTATTTGTTAGGATTGACTTTGTGCTTTGGAGTCGTTAGGTTCTTTGAAAAAGCAGGAACATGTTTCTACTCCTATCACACTGAAAACAAAATTCTCTGTTGAATATAAAGGTCTTGAAGACATTAGCACCATTCTGTAAAAAGGTTCTTGATATAACAAACACCACAAAAACAATTTAATGTAGATTTGGAGCTGACATACTATATTATACAGTTTCTTTCTAGTGAAAAGGACTCATCAGGCAATCACTTTAACCTCTTTTACGCTCTGCTAGCTGCTACATTAAACTCTAAAAATCTTATAAAATTGAAATACTCTAAAGGACATTAAAAAATAGGAATGTCTAACTCCCTCAAAAAAAACAAAGCCCATGTGAACTCAGGCTTCTTGGCTGAGAGGAAGCTTTGATTTGTGTCTTTATGCGTCTGTGGTTCATTTTGTCCTGTGTATTCATTGGTAAAAGCGTTTTATTCCTGTCGCCTTGTCATGTTACAACAGCAGAACTGAAAGAAAAGAAGACAAGGAAAGCGTGGCTGGCTTTTAAAACTTGATGTCCCAGTACTGCACTCTCTCTTTAGTGGCTTCAAACCCATCTTCAATGGCGGCAAAGTTGCTGTTGGTCTGTGACGTCACTTCAGGGTGTTGGGTTGGACCTCCGGCCTCTGAAAGGTCATTCAGAAACAATGTTCAAGAGTTATTCTCTATTTTTGTTTTGTGTTTCTTTCTTTCTCTTGTGTTAGTCTGTCTCTCAATACTTTCAGACATCCCTGCCTGGTCTTTGGCACTCAGACCAGAGCCCACTAGTTCCTACTAAAGATGTAAATCTTAAGAAATGGGTCACAAATATATACTTTTTTTAAAAAAAGAAAGAAAAAGGTTAGGTTATTTCCTAATACAGCTGGGCACAGTAGTTATTAGCAGACATTACTCAATCAGGAGTAAATACAAGAGTTCCTTTGTTGGGGACTAGTTTTAGCTGCAGATTCATACGCATTTCAAGATTAAAAGATTTTATTTGTTACATAGGCTACTCAAGCAATATGTTCAGTGAAATGTAATAATAATTGGAGTAAACATATGTAATAAAACGCAATGTATATTGGACTGGTCTGTAGGTGGGCTGTGTGATTCTTAGGTATACAAATGTACACTTTTGTAGTGTAAAATGCTCTAATAAGTATTACGACAGCAGGACGGTGTATGTGCGATTAAGTGAGTCAAAATAAACATGCCAATGAAGGAAAATGCCATTGCACTGGTGTGGCTCACTTCCAGTATTTTTTGGACATAAGTGGAGCTCTGTGACACAGAGGAATAAAATGCAAAAGACTTGTTAATATGGTAAATTCATTGTTGTTTTTGAATTTATGATAATCTCTTATCTTACCAGGCATGCACAGGATCTGGGGTCTCTCCCATCTGCCTTCAGACAGACACCTGATCAGAGGATTTAGTCTCTGCTGGAAACCTTGAGCGCAGTGATAACGCACGACTGCATTGGTCTCGTATCTCTGTCGAACTTTTCCAAATATGGAGGCGTTCCGAACCCTCGGTGGTGGACCACACGAGGCTGTTGGAAGAGTTAGGACAAGTTAGCTCCTCACTGCGGCTACATACAGTAAAGGTAATCACTAATGTATGATGATGTGACAGCCCCAAACAGCCGCATGATGATTTCATTGTTCAGTCTAATTCCTGTTACTCACAGGTGCCTTTCTTGCAGGTGTATGCAAGATGATAGTTGCAGGGTACATCACTCCAGCGCCCGTCATCGTGCCACACCATCACTACGCAGTCCTCGCCAGACAGGAAATAGCTGTCTGGCTGCCCTCTGTACCAGTTCTCATACAGCTGTGTACATAGAGAGAAGACACATACTGTCGGTGAATTTGAACTATTTGCATGTACTGTAAGGAAATAATAATCATAACATGGAGAAGTAAACTGTATCCACTTTAATAATAATGTTCTATCCACTTATATCCATATTTTTATGAGGTTGTATCATATAAAAGTAGCAAATAATTTCAAGGAGAACATCCGGCGATTTAATATTGCACTTTGTTTAAGAAATAGTCTGACATTTTGGGAAATTTTGGATTTTTTCACTTATGTAGATAGTATATACTAGAGGCAGCAGATGTTTCGCTTAGCATGAAGACTGGAAACAGAGGCAAACAGCTAGTCTGGCTCCATCCATGGGTAAGTAATCTACACATTATAGTTTGTTTGTTTAATCTGTACAAAAATCTGGGCTACAAAAAGTATAAAAACTTTAATAAGCTGTAGACTGAGACAGGCTAGCTGTCTCTTTGCTAAGCTAAGCTGACCAGCTGCTGGCTGTAGACGCATATTTAAGGTGCAGACATGAGAGTGGTATTGATCTTCTCATCTAACTCTTGGCAAGAAAGTGAATGAGCATATTTCACACAGTGTTTGACTATTCCTTAAACGTTATGGGACTGGACAAAAGACTTGGGGATCATATATAATACATAATGCAACTCTGTAAGGTCTTGATAAAGCTGATGATGTCCAAGTTGTTTTTTGACTTGACAAAGCTCCTCTGAAATCAAACGTTTTCACAGGCTGACAAGTAATCCTCATGGTAAACTGATCTTGAAAAATCAGTGGAATGCCCCTTTAAAGTACTCATTTTGTTTTCAATTATATAATTATTTGCATATTCTGCTTTTTCCAGCGATGTTTCTCTCATGTGAAAATCTCCAGGCACCTCTATGGAGCTCAGCCCACCCAAACTCATGGTTTCTAATATTTCTCACCAGCGGGTTCCCATCAGACCAGCGGAAATCATCCTCAATGGTCTTATCATTCAAACCAGTCCACTGGTATTCTTTGTAGTTACCTGGTGAGGACAATAAGGCATTACATTCAGTCATCAATAGACAATAATATACATAAATTCCTCATACACCATAAAGCATGACGGTCTGAACCTACTGTTGATGTAACTCTGTTCCTCAGGGGTCATGATGGACACCAGATGAGCTCCCAGCATGCGACAGTGCTGCTCTGCAACCTCCCAGCTCTGACGCTGGCCAAAGTGTCTGTAGCAGAAACTGTTGAACTTATCCCAACCCGGTTCACATTGCTCCACGTCTGAAAACATCACAGAGGAGGAGACAAGACAACTAAGAGTCTGTGGATGTCTCAACAGTTTTTTATGCTCCAGATATAAACTGTGTGAATTCCCTTTATTTACAATTACCAGCTTGTTTGACATACATTACAGAAGCAATTTCCACATGCACAAAAAGACAGGAGCTCACCAGTCTGACAGAAGTCTCCTCCGTATGTTGGCAAACAGAGACATTTAATCTGACCGTCTCGCTCAGTGCAGGTGCCTCCATTGAGACAGGGGTCGTCCACACAGGCATCTGAAACAAAACAGAGGGCCAGTTCAGATTATTCTGCTGCTGAAACTACATGAGAGCAGAGGCAGCAGTCTGTGTATTTTATTATTCAAATATTTATTATATAAAAAGCTACGTGTTTCCTTGTATTTGAACTATACATATCAGGATGGATATTGATTTGTGTGACGCACTAATTGCAACTCTGCATGTATACCAGTGAATTATACACATTTACAGATGTAGATAAAGATGTGCAAATGATAATAATGGACACATCTACAGATTAAAGGACATGTTGAAGCATCAGGATGCACGTGAGCCAACAGATGGCAGCAGAGAGACAAACGTCACTAGCACATTATGGTCAAACTTCTCAGGTGCTTTTCTGTCTTCCTCAATGGATCTCTAATTGTTTCCTGATCTTCTTTCTTTCTTTCTGTCTTCTTCTTCTTCTTCTTCTTGCACTCTTCATTGATAATACACATTTCAAATGATACTAGTGTAAAGTGGAGCCTTAAGGAAGCCAGATGCAATTACACTGTGAGACTGGGTCATACTTTTTAAAAAAGACTTAATGGGGACAGGTTACCGAAACGCATCATCATCATTTTTTCCCCTCATAACCAGTTGGTAAAGTCTGTCCACATAGTTTCAGTTTGATTTGCAGCAGTTTGTCGCTACTCACTGAAGTTTACTCCAGTACATTACAAGGAATTTTTTGTGGGTTTATCATGCCAAAACATTATACTTAAACATTATACTTATAAAAACTCACAAACATTAATTTCCAAATGCAATAACAGAGTTATGGTAAATGGTCTGCACTTGTATAGAGCCTTTTTAGCCTTTTCGACCACTCAAAGCTTTACATCACATTCACACACTGATGAACAGAGGCTAAGGTGCCAACTGCTCATCAGAAAGACAAATTAACACATTATCCCTATGCCATCGGGAACACACGTTACACATGATAATCAACAGACTTTGCTGTGATCTGTATGGATAACTGTCTACTAAAGCATACTGTCTGTTTCTGAGCAGAAGGAAGAAATTGCTAACTTTGGTTATTAAATATTACTACAGAATGTCAAACTTGTTAAGGAAGATACAAGTTTGCAGCAGTGTATAATAATAAAAACACTGGTGTTAGGTCTTTGTTGTTAAAAATACTCTGATGATAAACATATGTTTCACATATTTCACTGCCTCACACTGTAATTCACATATACTACTACTTCTTCCTTCCTGTTAAAAAATCTCACACAGGACAGTTCACAATTTCTATACTGAACTAAAGAAAATAACTTAATTGCAAATTGCAGATTATTTCAAGGAGTTCATAAAATCATTAAATTAGTTATTTTGGGAGAAATTTAAGAGAAATCTGTCACGTAGTGCCATCATGTGACAGCTCATTTAATTGTTAAATTAATTTCCCATAACATTTGTGTGGAGCCCTCTAGACCCATAGAGAGAAAAACATTTTTGTTCCCTTTTTTTTAAAATTAATTCATGCATGAGTATATATACAGAGAGAATAGAATGAATTTTCATTCACCAATACTTTATATTGTCAAACTCCTGCATGGATGATTACACTGTAGCTGAGAAATATCCCTTAGCTTTAAGGTCCCGTGTGAATAGTCCTTGCCTCACCCTCCCCTTCTAAGCTTGTAGAAGAACCTACAGCTGGCCACAAAACTTGTGAAAAATGTGAAAGGCCCTCTCTAGAGCTAGTGTTTGTCTATTCTGGGCTAGTGTAGAAACATGGTGGTACAACATGGTGGACTCTATGGAAGAGGACGGGCTCCCTCTGTAGATATAAAGGGCTCATTCTAAGGTAACGAAAACACACAATTCGTTTTAGGTGATTGTACACTAATGAAAACATCCTTCTGAATATAATGTGCCATTTTTGACATATTCTGCCATTAGATTTAGGTAAGTTTTACACACTGGACCTTTAGGGCAGTGTGTCCCTGTAAATGTACCCTTGTTGTTTAAAGTCCTGAAGAAAAAGAGGGGTTGGAGTTCCAGATTAATTTTCTAAATTTGTAAAAGAAGGCAAATTGAAGGCATGTGTGTCCAAACTAAAACTAAACATTTTACAAGTGGATCTTGTTTATTTGTTTCCTTTGACACCCTATAAACAAGAACTCTGTGGTGTCTGTCATTATACTGTACACTCTTTTCAGAGATCTCTCTTTAGGTCAGAGTGTGTATATGGAAGGTAATAACTGCTTTACATGAGTCAAATCAGAATCACATGTGCTAAAAGTAAAACCATCATTCAGTTTTACTGAAAAATACACAACTATGATCAAATATAAAACATTTTTTTCAGCATTTTTGTAAGTTTGTACAGCAACACGCTATTCCCTACAAACTCAGCTTTCTGCAAAAAGTGTGCATGATGTCCATGTGTTTGTGTGTTTTTTTTCTCAAACATCACCTAACAATGTATTACTTGTAGGTGATATATTGTTGGGTGATCCCGAGTCTCCTGTCTTTTATCAACATGAATATGTCCAATATATAAACATCACTGCTCAACAAATTAGGGCTTAACAAAGGGGCTGAAGCTGAAATTAAATGTGAAAAAATAACAAATGCACCTATATGCTCCAATCTGTACAATATTCATTTATTGAGACAAGCTTTCGAACACTTAAAAAAGGTTTGACTCAGTAAATAATATTTAGAATATTTCACAGATTGGATGTGGATGCTTTTCATCACCATGATGATGCTGATAGTAAAAAAAACAGTTTATATATATAGTGATATGTATACAACAGTGGCAAACAAAAATGTAACTAGAGCCTTAGATTACCTGGAGCTTGTAAGTAGTTTTGAGTTTAAATGTGAGCTCATGTTGCAAATGTGGTTCAGTGTGACATGACTAACAGCATCCATGTAGACAGTAAAATAATTTGTCCTCTATTAAATGAAAAACTTGTTGTATCAGCTGCTACTGTATACCGTCATTTTTAGTTCAATAAAAAGAATATTGCCTTTGCTATCCTCTATTTGTTACTAGACTTCATTTGAAGAAGCTCTGTCATATTTTTAGATACCATGTCCTAAAAGTGCGTGTGCAAATGTGGTGAGGTAAGCCATTGCACAGGGAGTGTCAATAATTACCTGAAATATGGCCGATTGGAATGTGTCAAGGAGTTGATAAGACAGGATTGTCAGTAAAGACAAGTCTCTTTTGTGATGAAATACACTTGAGATCATTTGAACTCTAGTATGTTTATGCACAATAATGTTTTTGCATCATTTTAAGCTGTGTTCTGTTGCTGTATGTTTTTTAATGTAAAGTGCATAGAGTTGTTCTGTAATAAAATGTGCTACAAATAAAACCTGCCTTGTTTTCTGTTATTAGATTTGTAACTGGATTTTTCTCTGGAATCTAAAGTGGCAACAACTAATTTCTCACATTTATGCCACAACTACGGAAGACAATTTCTGCAAGGGAAAAAAAGATGAAAATATTTGCATAATAAAATTTTAAATACTCATAATGAATAAAAATTATGAGAAACTAAGTCAAATAGATTGTGAGTCATAATTCTGAATTAGCAGGCCAAAAGTTTGACTTACAATGAAAATTAACATTTTTATCATGCCTAATTTTTCATTTCAAAGCTTTTCTTGGCAGTAATTGGCTTCCATACATTGCACCACTGTCTGAAGCTGGCATTTTTAGTAGTAGGAACTTACAACATTTTACAGCAAACTAAAACATTTGAGACTGAAGGAAAACAAAATAACAGATTTATCAACTGATGTTGAGACGAGAAACAAACATATATTAGATGATTTTATCATTCTTACACCTAAAAACACAAAACTGTACAAATCTTGGGATATCATTATTAAACAATAGAACATGACATGAGAATGAAACATATATAAAGGACATTTAAAAACATATTGCTAAACACTACCACTTGCAACAAATTACCACTGAACAATATTTGTGCTTATAAACATAATAACATTCTGTGCTTCTGGTATTAGACTGCCTAAATATAGCAACATAAGTCTAAAAATCTGAGGAACGAGAACAGTTTTAACAATTGATAACCTGACAGTTATGGATTAAATATGAAACATTATTGCTGTTGCACTGGTCAGTGCTGTTGCATTCATTGTAATCGCCGTTACATTCCAGTTAAAGATCAAGTCCCTTTATCGAGTTACTTCAAGATTACTGTGAGTTTTGACAGTTAGTGAGAAGAAAGTGATGGTGAAGGGAATACTTTGCACTGGTTTCCAAATGTATTATTTGCAAATAAATTCCACTTGATCAAGATACTGAGAAAAGATATACCAATGCTAAATCCACCACTCTCGCACAAAATCACTGCAGATGAAGCACTGAAACACTCATTCATAAACACATCATTATATAACAGTACTTCACGGAAGTCGATCTTTGGATGAGGAAGAAAACATCATGCAAAACAAGACTGGACTGTTGACAAATGTCAAATGGGAGCTGTCCCAGTGTGAGTATCTTGAAGGGGAGGTGGGGTCACAAAGACAGAAGTGAGGAGAGTTTTAACGTGAAGAAGGTGAGAAGTCATTTGAAAAGGGGGGGGTGTTTTACAGAAAATGGAGCAAAGGTAGGTCGGGGCAGAGGACAGACCAGGGATTTTAGTGCATCATTGCGTCGAGTAGCAAGAGGAGGACAGTTAGGCTGATGAGTGTGGCTTTAACATTACCTGAAACTTTCCCTGTACCGCCTACAGCGGCCCTCTCATTGGGCAAGATAAGCAGGGTGGGCGGCGGGGTGAGACTAAACTCAACATCCACCAGACCTTGATCCACTGGTGGTATGAAGGCTGTCACCTTCTGGGGCTCAGCTGTCTTGTGAAAAACATTCGGTGTTGGGGTGGTCGGGCTCCAGGTGCGTCTTGACCAGTGTTTGGTGGTCGTGGTAGTGGTGATAGTCTTCTGTGTTGTAGCATCAGTGAGTTTTGTACTTGAGGAGGAATCTGGAGCTGCTGTGGAGGTGATGGAGGAGGTTTTTCTGCTGTAATCTGGATCATTCAAAGACTCTTGGGGTCCAGTTGTGGTGGTCAGAAGAGCCCAGTTAGATGTTTGTGAATCAATAGGAAAGATGGTGAAATCCTCCTCAGAGGCTGGGGCAACACTAGCTTCTTCTTCAAGGGTTGGGGAAACATTAGTTTCTTCTTCAATGACAAGGGTTGGGGCAACTTTAGCTTCTTCTTCAAAGGTTGGGGCAACATTAATCTCTTGTTCAAGCACTGGGGCGACGCCAGCTTCTTCTTCAAGGGATAGGGAAGCCTCTTCTTCAAGGATTGGGGCAATGTTAGGTTCTTCTTCAACGACATGGGTTGGGACAACTTCAGCTTTTCCTTCAAAAGTTGGGACAACATCAGCTTCTTTTTCAAGGATTGGGGCAATGCTAGCTTCTTCCTCAAGGGTTGGGGTGAACTTTGGTTCTACGTCAACGGCAAGGGTTGGGGTACTACTAGATTCATCTTCAAAGGTTAGAGCAATGTTAGCCTCTTCTTCAGGGGTTAGGGTAACATTAGCTTCTTCTTCAAGGGATAGGGAAACATTAGCCTCTTCTTCAAGGACTGGGGCAATGTTAGTTTCTTCTTCAAGGGCAAGGGTTGGGGTAATGGTAGATTCATCTTCAAGGGCAAGGGTTGGGGCAATGGTAGATTCATCTTCAAGGGCAAGGGTTGGGGCAATGCTATATTCATCTTCAAGGGCAAGGGTTGGGGCAATGGTAGATTCATCTCCAAGGGCAAGGCTTGGGGCAATGGTAGATTCATCTTCAAGGGCAAGGGTTGGGGCAATGCTAGATTCATCTTCAAGGGCAAGGGTTGGGGCAATGGTAGATTCATCTTCAAGGGCAAGGGTTGGGACAATGCTAGATTCATCTTCAAGGGCAAGGGTTGGGGCAATGCTATATTCATCTTCAAGGGCAAGGGTTGGGGCAATGGTAGATTCATCTCCAAGGGCAAGGGTTGGGACAATGCTAGATTCATCTTCAAGGGCAAGGGTTGGGACAATGCTAGATTCATCTTCAAGGGCAAGGCTTGGTGCAACATTAACTTCCTCTCCTAGTAAAAAAGAAACATTTGCTTTCTCTTCAAGGGTTGGGGTAACGGTAAATTCCTCTTCAAGAGTAAGGTTTACTTTATTTTCCTCTTCAATGGTTGCAGTAACTGTATTAGGCTCATGTCCACTAGCCTCTTCATACCCAGTGGTTGCAGTGTCCAAATAGACTCTGTAACCCGATGTACGAAACCGCACTGTTGTGGAATCAGTAGGCAACTGAGAGGTGTTCAACCTCTCTGGAGACTCAGTCGTGGCTAAACTTACTTCAGAAACAAGGTTGTCTTCAGACTTTGTTGGCTGCTGCTTTTTTTCTTCACCTTCCACTTTGACTGTGTCTTCAATTTCTAAGCTTGTACTTCCCTCCTTACTGGAAATGGAGGACTCCCACAACTGTGGTGCTGTGGAGACGATATCCAAGCCCAGTTTGTCAGAATGGCGTGACTCAGACGAGAGGGTCAGATCGGGGAGTGCAGTCCAAGGCTCAGCTGGAGCGCCAGTAGCCACAAAAGGTGACGGGTGAGTGGTGATGCTAGAAGTAGAAGACTCTGATATGGAGATAGAGCCGACTGCTTCGACATGAAGGTCACTTTCTAGAAAAGAACATAAAACAGTTTTGGAGCTGTAAATGCAGCTACTAAAGGAATAATTGTACATTGTGGGAAATACGCTCATTAATTTTCTTGCCAATAGTTAGATCAAGACCACTCTCATATCTGTTAATATGAAGCTTCAACCAGCAGCAGTAGGTTAACATAGCTTAGCGCAGAGAGCTAGGCTGTCTCTGTCAAAAGTTAACAAAAAACACCTCTAAGGTTCACCAATAAACACATCCTGTTTGTTTAATCTGTCCAACAGGAGGTTGTGTGTTGGATCATTTCTTGGCCAGGCTCAGTTACCTTATGGAGTCTCTTTTTACCTGACCAACCTCTCAGTGATGACAAGATTCCTGGAAGTCACTGCTCACAACAAGAAATAATCCACCACATAAACCCCCTGTAACATGGCGTATAGGTTAATCAAACGAGATCCATCATGTTACTTTATTTATTTATTTATTTAAAAGGGGACAGTGCATATTAAAAAACATGTTAGTTTTGCAGCAGTGTAAATATGCCAGATTTAGACAGGCGTCTGTGAGCTTTAGGTTTAGGTGCTGGTAGGTGGATTTTCTGACCTCTGAATAGTCAGCAGTCTTTGTGCTAAGCTAAGCTAACTGTCTGTTGTAGCTTCATATTGACCGTACAGAATCCCAGTAAGAATGTGAATATGTTTATTTCCCAAAATGTTGAATGATTCCTTGAAGATATTGATGTTTGTTCTTCTGTAAATAAATAAAAATGTATGCTTGACATACCTTGAGAAATATCTCCAGACCCATCCAGACTGTCCCACAATGAGGTAAGCTCCTTGTTGGAAGATTTTGTAGTTTGGGCTGGCTGTGTAACAAATTCTTCTTCTTTTGAGGCCTGAGTTGAGAGAGACACAGGATCTTCTACTTCTGCCTCCTCCATCTTCACCTTCCAGAAACTCTTCTCTTTAGTATGATTGCTGTCTGACTCATTGTAATTGGCTTGTGATTTGTAAAGTTTCAAGTTGGTCTCTTGTATTTCTTGAAAATCCTTTGGCCTCTCAGAAGGCTGCGTATTTTCTTCGGGATTTGTATCTGGAACTGTCTGGTTATGTGTGTGAGGTTCATATGATGATTCAGGAAACCCTATGGTGCTTTCAGGCTCAGTCTGGTGATAGGTGAAGTTCAAGTTTTGGTGGGAATCTGTCTCATTGTAAACCTCGGGCAGTAACGACATGTTTTGTGGGGAATCGTAGGTTTCTGTGGCACTGATAGTACTGTTCATCTGTGCTGTAGGGTGCTGGGAGTCGTAGCTCATTTCTGTAGGAGATGACGTTTCATCAAATGCCTGGAGGAGGTCCAATGTAGGTGTGCTGTTGAGGGAAGACTCTGTTGTGTCTGATATAACTGTTGGGTGTGTGTCAACCAGATTTTCCTCAGTGGAGGGGCTAGAGAAAAAGGGAAAAGATTCCAGCACCATTTGAGCTTTGAGCTCCACCTGTTTTGCATGTTGGTTCAGTTGCAGCTCTTGATCGGTTTCCATAAGAATAACAACATCCTGTCCAATGTCCTCCAGTTCTGTAGCCACATACTCCGTGGGAGGGTCGGTATGAGTATTTATATTATCTGTAGAGGACAGATAAGTGAATATTAGATTTAAGAAAAAAACATTTATTTTGCTTTACTTCAAATATGCCCACCTCCTTAAAGTTTAATTACATGCATATACATCGTACATATATCTGAATGTCCATTTTTTTCTAATATCAGTTGGAGGTGTATTTTAATTATGACAAGAAAAGAGTAAAGGTGAAGCAAGGATTCATTCCTGTATGTGTATAGTATTTATAGAAATATCCTGGTTACAATTTTTGTCCAAACGAGAAGTAATATAAACAGTTAATATGTACACCCAATACAATTTGAATTCTATTTTATGCAAGCAAACTTTTTGAGGCACATAATACTCACCTCTGAAACAATAAACGTCATGAAGGCTGGATGGCTCTGGGAAGCCAGTTTGGTTGCTGAAACGGTAGAGTGTTTTGACGCCTGCCTGAGGCCCTCCGCAGCGTTCTCTAGGGTTTATGATGGGGTAGCGCACACTGCCATCAGACAGCCAGCCAGGGCTGCAGTGGTCCAGACCTTCACTCCATGCCAAGTACAGCTGTGCTGTTGTAGCCAGCTCTGCTCCTGCTGCTCTGCAGTATGACTGTGCTTCATCAAAAGACAGCTGCTGTGAGGCGGAGTCATGAAACACTTTCCCTGCAAACACAAAATATTTTAAATTTTTCATTATTTCATTCTGCTGTATGTACAATATGTAATTATTCATCATTTAGTTTATCACAGATATATCTGTATAAATCGCTATAAGCAGCATATATGTTAGCTGACAAGAAACAAAAAACTGCAGTACAGGAATGCCAACCCTGTGTTTGAGATAAATCAGAAAAACATTACATAGATTGTCCACCAGAGGGCATTATCTTAATTTTTCAACTGTAAAATGTTTGGTTACGCACATTTCTCACACTTCTACAATAACTTAATTTAAGGAATTATAATTAAAAATATAAGTAAATGCTAACTGATATATTTTTATTTGAATTTTTTAAGCTATTTATATCAGAAGTGACCTAAATGTCTAGTATGAGTTAAGCTTTAGTTATAGAAATATGTGTTATTATACATACCGCCAATTTCCTCCACATAACAGTAAACATCAAATAGATCATCTGGATCCATTGTCCCATAGTTTCTCACGCCTGGTTGGCCGTTCATGTCTCCATAACAGGCATGACGGGGGACTTGGATTGGGTACCTGCAAGAATGGAAAACAATAAGCATTTCTCACGTAAGATTTACCTCTTAAACTTTGTAAACTTGATGTATGAGCACCATGCAGCTTTAACATAATGTTGGAACAAGCAGATACAGAGGTGATGAGATACCTGACAGACTGGTCTGCCAGCCAGCCTGCATCACATTGCTCGTAGCCGTCATAATAAGCTGCCAGCAGCTGGTCAGGAGTGGCGATCTGTGCCCCAATGCCCTCACAAGCCCTTTGGGCCTGATGGAAGGAAAACGCATAGCGGCCCAAAGCATCTCTATAGTGGAATACAACACCTAAACACACAAACATGCACATAAACACACACACACACACACACACACACACACACACACACACAAGCACAAAATGTATTTTGAGTTATTCCAGTACTGTATAAGGTTACAGTCAAATGTCATATCTTAAACAAAAAAAGGAATTAAAACTGTCAAATAATCCTGTTAATAAGATCATTTGTAAAGACTCCCAGTTTCTGCAAATGGTAATGGTATGTATGGAAAATCTGCCCATCAATACAATAAAATTAATCAGTTGTTTTGGAACAGGAAAATTACAATCAAAGTAAGCAATATTATCTTTGTTACTACTCATTGTAACCTATCACCAATATTTTCATCCAAATCTTTCAAAAACTTAAATTTCATTTTGTTACCTTTGACCTTGAGATGTACAAGGTCGCTGGCATCCTCCAGGCCCTGCTGCACCTCACAACGATAGTAACCAGAATCACTGGGGCGTAAATCTCCCAACCACAGTGACAGATCATCGGGGGAGGAAGTGTAGTTGAGCCAGGCGGCACGGTCTCGGTAGGCTTCGTTGACCTTCACCCTTTGACCACTTGCCACCAAGATATGTGTCTCCACCCCACCAGCCACCACAGTCCACTTGACGCGTGGTAAAACAGGAGAGGAGGAGGAGGTGGATGTGGATGACAGAGATACTAAACAAGGGATAGAGATGGAGCTTCCCAGTGGGGCGGAAATCGGACCTGAGTGAGGGATGTTCACCTGGAGCTGCTGGACATCATCTACAGAAAAAACAATAAAGGATACAGAGCATGGAGAACAGAGAGGCTCTGTAAATTTGATGCAAATAGTCAATCATGGCCTTACTTTTAAATGCACCTTTGTATTTGTTTCTTATAAATGAATGTGAATGAAGAGATTAAATGTAGACGTACCAAATGCAGATGGTGTTTGGGTGGGGAAGGCCAGAGTTAGACGGCACACTGCAATGAGAAGTGGAAGTATTTGGACATATCTACGGAGAAGGAAAACACAGTAAAAGTTAATCACAGATGAAGATTAATAATAAAGCATTCCTGTAAACACAGGGAAAGAAAGGAGAGTGATTATTTCTCCCTACCTCCCTAGTTTCCAATTTCACACATGTTTAACCTTTAATAGCCAGAGCGATTTCTGATACTGGAAGTCGTGTATTTTGTTGGTTCAGCTAGTCAGGAGACATGCTCCACTCACCAAACTGATTAATTTTAATATTACAGGTCATAACCTGTACACCTTTGTGTTACCTTCACCACAGCATCCACATACTGTGGTTTTAGCTTTGCACATGTATTGATATGCAGCTGGGTGAAGAGGCAGACTCAGATGTTAGACTGTAATGTTCTAATTTTTAGCCATTTATTATTTACATTTGATATGATTCATGTTTTTATGTATATGTTATAATTAATTGGATAATTAGTCATTTAGCTAACACTTGTATCCAAAGCGACTTATCCGACTATGTATATCAGTGGTCGCACACCTCTGGATCAACTAGGTCTTAAGTGTCTTGTTCAAGGATACAATGGTGGATGAATCAGAGTGGGAATCAAACCCAAGTCTCCCACACCAAAGGCATGTGTTTTATCTGCTGCGCCATCACCACCATGTTTAGTGCTATAAATACCACTACAAAAAATTTGATACATGCTGTCAGAAACAACAAGAAACAATCAAAAGCTTTACACAGGTTAATGTACACAACAAAAACATAGAAAAGGGGCATAAAACACATCTAACCATCTTAGTTTAGCATGTTAGCATGCTAACAAATGCTAATAAGCACTGAGGAGAATGTAAACATCTGTACCAAGCTTCATGGCTATCCATCTAATGGTTGTTGGGATATTTCACTCAAAACCACATGACCTCATGGTGGCGCTAGAGGAAAAGTCAGGGGATTAACAAAGTCCTGAGGAGTCATCGTCTGGAAATCATGCATGTCTTTACAATACTTCATGGCAATATATCAGATAGTTGTAGTTCTCTATTTCAGTCTAGACCAAAGTGGTGGACAATAAAAATATATATTTTTAAGACTATACCTCTAATGTACATAATGATATAAAATAGAAAGATAGAAAAGATTGAAAAAAATAAAGATAAAGATAGAAAATAGCTTTAGAGGTAGTACGTATTTAGTGTTCGCTCACTAATAAAAATAGGGTGGTTAGTATATTTGACAGTATTTGCTCATTGATCAACATAAAAAAGAACTGTAAATGAGCCTAAATAAGTTAAGTCTAATTTTGATCTGTTTCAGACTTTTAAAAAAGCAGCCTAACAATAGAATAAGCCGACATATCTTGCAGTAAAATGTAAGAGCACCAGAGACTAAAGCTTCAAAAATGAATGTAAAGTTGAATCAAAAAACAACAAAAACTGGATAAAGATGTGATTTATTGCTGTTGTATTAACACACAAGTTGAAAAAAATGTATCTCAAAGCTACAGCTGTGAAGTATAAAAGAGCAACTTCTCTGGTTTTTGAAAGGGAAGCTGGGAGCACAGGCTCCTGACCACAAGCCATTCATCACCTCCGGGAGCTAATGACACGGCGTCTCAGCCCAGTAGCAGCCTGCCAGCTCTCCGTCACCAGTCTGTCCCTGTTATTAACCCAGCAGGCATGGCAGGACGCTCACAGTGACCTCACTCAACCTCCTGAGGCAGCCATGATGAAGCTGCAAATGTTCATTCATTATTAAAGAGCAGCGGCCCGGTTCCAAATTACTTTTCAGAGTTGACAGAGTCAAAAGTACTTTTAGAATTCAGAAATTAGGTGTTTCTTTCCCTTCTCAGGTAATTCAGTACATTTTTCTTACGATCTTGCTTAGTACCACGCTAGTATGTATAGTACATGCAGTATTTAACTCTATAACTCGATTGATAAAAATATATAATATTTGCTAAATATTATTTCTCCCAATCATCCAAACTTTACTCTTTTATTAGAAAATCTGGATTTCTTTCACCTGAAACATTGACTGCAAAGGTATTACATATAATCTCGCCTTCTGAAATCAATGGACTAGTGGTCATAGCAAATGAGTCCAGATGAAATATCAACTAATGAAGATATATATATATATATATATATATATATATATATATATATAGTAACGTTTACTTAAGTAAAGGTACAACAAAATGTACTTACTTAAGTTAGTGTTCCTTATGTAGAATGACCCCTGTCAGTGTCATTATCATTATCATTGATGCAATAAAATGCAAGTTGTACTTCAGTGTAGTAGTTGGTTGATGTGGAGCTAATTATAACTAGTTTATCTACTTTGGGGTGGTTTTATTTTGTAAACTAAAAACTGCTTTCCTTTTAAAATGTATTAGTAGAACTATAAAGTAGTCAAATGGATCTCAAAATTGTACTTAAGTACAGTAATTCAGTAAATGTATTTTCTTATACTACCAATAGGGTAAAATTGGGATTTTAGTAGAGAAAAACTCTTTACAAAGAAGTCCCAGATTGTTTGACTGTTGATGATGCCACCAACACAACAAATCTCCTACAATAAAGCTCAAGTTGAAAAGAGAGGAGAAATCCAGAGCTAAGCACAGAGGAGGTACTGTGTGTGTGTGTGTGTATGTGTGTGCGCCAACCTCATTCACTTCTGTCAAGATGAAGTTTTGATAAACAGACATAAGATGGCAGTATCTCTCACTTAGCCTCATTATGAGGCATTATGAAGTGTTCATCCACACAGACATACATATAGTATACGTGTGCTCAAGGTGGTAAAGAATCCAGTAAACAAAGAAAAACGAAACGACAGAAGTGAGCCAAAAGTTAAACAAGCATTAATAAAGTTGACTCAAACGCATCCTTGAGTATGAGTCGGCACAAACACAGCTCACTAACATGTCAAATTAAATGGCCTTCTTTGATGGCCGAATAATTGATGTTTGTTTCCTCGCCAGCTGGGTCAACTCCACAAGGGCTGGTATCACTATTAGTATTCTTGACAAGAAAACGTCTCACAAAAAGCGAGCAGTGGGCCAGGAGGACAGCTGCACACTGTGCTTTCACTTCATACCAACTCCCTTACAAAAGGCCTTGGGGAAAAATTAAAGGACGGGGCACTGGCACACTTGCTTGTTTTTTCTCTTTCCTTTCTCTCGTTCTTTTCACGGATGGAAAGGGAAGTTTTAAACCACTAAGAATCGTTCTGGAGCAGACTTTGTAGAAAAGGAACGGCCACATTAAGACACTGCACACTGTTTCAGATTGTATAACTGTTGTGAGAGTGTGCTTACATATGAGTCTGTGCATTCAGATTGATGACAGAGGAGAAAATCCTGCTTGGCTGCTGATTACTTTGTGACTTTTTTAGAGCTCATTTTTCACTTAAGCCTTTGGCCACACTGTCACCAGGCACTCTGTGGCTCTGCTCTTTTTAATGAGAAGACAAGTCAAGCTAAAATCAATGCCACCCACTGCATTTACATGTTTAGAAACTGCAGCCAATGCATTATCCACAAGCAGAACCTACCCAGTCTCCTCCTCCAGCAGAAACAGACAAGTATAGTAACCACTGCAGACTAACATGTTGAAGATCAGTGGAGTAGAAAAATCCAGGTGAAATGAACAACTTTAATTGTTAACGAAATAAATAATAGTAAACAAGGACCATTAAATCAACTGGCGACCTGTCCTGGGTGTACCCCGCCTTGCGCCCGATGTCAGCTGGGATTGGCTCCAGCCCCCCCACGACCCTGTACGCAGGATAAGCGGTTAACGATGGATGGATGGATGGACCATTAAATCAGATGCTGAGACCCCTGTAGGTGCTACACAGACAGCAAAAGCTGTCTCACTACATCTTGTGGGTGGCCCCTGCAGCAGTCTGCATCAAGGTCAACTCAGGCAAACCTGCTAGTAACAGGCAGGACTGACTGCTGATCCCAGCTTAGCCTGGTCAAACATGCAGAGACACCGGGTTGACTGATGTAAGCTCTGTGCAGTGCTGAGCTGGAACTGGCTTTGGCACTAATGAGTCTACAATATCTGCAGTACATCTGAAAATACACAGTAATTGAGTTTTTACAGGGTAGAAACCTTACAAGCACACGTTTCTATCCACCATGTGAGTGTTGCTGCTATATTCGACTCAAAGTTTCTCCAGTTTTCTAATCCCAATACACTTACCTTTTAACAATTTATCTGATAGCTGGATGACATTTTCTAATCTAAAATTAAAGACTTCCATATAAAGGTATTTCCGTGTGTCAGCCAAGTCGTAGTTCAAACTGGTGGTCTGACAAATAGGAGATTTAAGACAGGATCTGGGGTGATGTTTTACTATCTAAGACATTAAGTTTTAATAGTGCAACCTGAGTTTGATATAGTACAGTAGTTACTATGAACTTCAGATGGACTTAACATGCAAACTTGATGGATGTGATGGATTTATGAATGGCTGGTGAAAACCTGGGTATTTTCAAAAATGGCTCCACTAATGTAACTTGTGGTAGTCGCAGTTGCAAGCAATATCAAGTGTAAGTAATTTTTTATTTAATATATAGCCCATTGGTCTTTATTGTGCAGTAATCTGTCAAGTAACCTGCAGATTTAAGTATTTATATCTTATTTGTTTTAATCCATGGCTTGATAAGAGCAGTTGAAGTAGTAACAATCAAATTTCTATTGAACAACCAGAAGTTAAGAATTCTCCTTGCACACATTATTTAAGATGACAGATTAAAAGGCTACCACTGGGATCAATTCTTCCTTCCTTCATCTCTGTAGAAATGCAACAACAAAATGACCAGGGCTCATATTTATCAAGCTTCTCAGAATTTTTCATAAGAAAACCGCTGTAAGAATTGACTTGAGAGTAAAACAATTCTTGCCTCAAAGCTGCGCTTAAAAGTTAGATATCAAGCATCTTTTTTTGGAGGACAACACAGGCAAGGACCAATCCATGAATAGGTTTCCTTATATATTTAACAATATTCTCAGATAAATTCACATTGCATGGTGAATTCATTACATGAACATTATCCTTTATCCCCTATTAGATGACACCCAACGGCACAAAGTGCCTTTCAAAGAGCAATGATCCACAATGAATGCAATAATTGTTTCCATGACAATTTGGCATGCCGTTGGTTGTGATGGCCCCAAGTCATCAGCATTGCATTGCTGCATTTTTCCGGTGGCAAGGAAACAAAGTGTCATCACCACCTTGAATTCAGCTGAAAACACAGAGAGAGGACATTCCTCACCAACTTTCTAACAAAGATGATGCCTGCTGTGTCCAAACGATACCTTCTGATTAAATGTGAACAGTCAAACAATTCAAAAACATTCTTCCTCCCCTTAAATATTCATGCATGTCTCTGTCTCCTTAGTCCCATCACATGCCACTACTGGCAACTCCTAACCGCTTGAGAGACGTCTCGAGTGTCTTAAATAACTGATTCTTAGCTTTAAAAAATTTGATAACTTGCTTTTGTACTTAAGTTTGAAAGTAGGACTAAATTTCATTAATTAAGACTAAAATGGCTCTTTGAGAAGCATGACAAATACAAGCCCTGATCCCACAAATTCATGTATGCTGATGACACATGCATGGTAACCAAACTTTGAATCGCTGGAGAAGATCACCACCAAAATCTCAACTGCACACAGAGTCAAAGGACTTTTCAGACAAACAGATAATATCCGACCTGAAATTATAAAAAGGCTCTCGACTGACCACATTCCATGGCTAGCCTTTATAGACCATGAAAAGACATTTGTCAGACAACACATCAAGTAGAAGCTGCCTGGAAAAAATAAATGGCCTAACCCTGGCTTATTATGGAATTTATTTTAAAGTCCATATTCACAGTGAAGGGGCGGGGCGGTGTTGCAGTGGTTAGCACTGTCGCCTCACAGCAAGAAGGCCTGGGCCTTTCTGTGTGGAGTTTGCGTGGGTTCTCTCCGGCTGCTCTGGCTTCCTCCCACCATCCAAAGACAGACTAGGTTAATTGGTGTCTCTAAAATTGTCCTTAGGTGTGAATGTGAGTGGTTGTTTGTTTGTGTGGCCCTGTGATGGACTGGCGACCTGTCAAGGGTGTACCCCACCTTTCGCCCGATGTCAGCTGGGAAAGGCTCCAGCCCCCCACGACCCTGTACACAGGATAAGCAGTTGACGATGGATGGATGGATCCACAGTGTACTGCATGTTCATGCAGGCTTTTGGTTAATACGTTTCTGTTCTGTTCCAAGGACTAGAAAACAGTCAGTGTAATGACTGATATAATCTGTACTTTCCTTTTGCATAGATTTGATTTAACATTTGTATTGTTTTGCCTTACGTGTTAGGCTGTTTATTATTCATATTGAACATATGCATTACTAAACTAATGTAGAAGTCTAGAAGCATGTACCTATTTCTGGAACATCTTAGCGCAACTCATCCTTAACAACGACTCCAGCTTAACCACTCTACTCCAGCTTCCTCCCCATGCCACTATGCAACATGTAGCACACCATCCCAGCCAATTAATAAAATGTCGACTGAACTTAAAAACAACTTTATACAACAGCGTGTTAAATTTGCAGACATCCAGTGTCAATATTACGACCGAAATGACCACAGAATCATATCAGTGCTTTGAGTTTTACTGACTAATGTCAGACCAGAGAGACATTGCTATTTCATCATTCAGTTTTTCCTGTATCTCTCTCTCTCTCTCTCTAACTGTCCATTAAGGACCTCCACCTGAGCCCTGAGGTGGAGAAAATGAAGGAAAGAGGCTAAATGTGCACTCAAGACAAAAAGCATCCTCTTGTGCTCCTGCAGGCCACATGAACAACATTTCAGCAGCATATTTGCCTTAATCTGAGAAAAAAGCAGCATTTAAATAATAAAGAAAGAAGTTGTCTGGATCACAAAAGGGTTGTTTTTCTATAAATATAAGTAAGTCAGTTTTAAATAGGCTAGCTGTCAATATTCTTTCTTACCTGTGTGAAAAACAATGATTCACAATCATTTAACAATCAGGAGGACTGAGGGTGAGATGGTGGAAGAGGGAAAAGCAATTAAGAAACACATTAACGATTCACCTCTAAAATACAGTGCGGGTGTGTGCGGGGACACATAGCCCATTATAAAAAGTTATACTTAACTAAGTGTAGTTCCTCAAAATGACTACTGACCACAATTTAAGGACCTCCACTGAGGACAGCATATACTGTAATGCAATTAACTGGTAAAGACTGTCATTTTCTTAAACGACTCCATAATTTACCACGACATTATGCATTTAAAAGAACTTAAAAAGAAACGACATAAAACCGCATCAACTGTGTGTCATTAACACAACACCCCAAACAAAAACCTACCGGATTCTTCTCAGCAGCATTTCAGCTGATGCAGGATGCTTTGACTTGGCTGTAAAAAGTATTTTCTGTCAGCTCCTCTCAGCTTGCTGCAGTGCGACTGTCCTGTTGGGGATGATCTGCGCAGGTATGAGGGAGTTGGGACTGCTGTCCGACCGACTCCGAGGCTCGGAGAGAAAGGAGGGAGTTGAGAGAACGGGAAGCCAGATATAAAATCCTGAACTGCCCACTTTTTTAACCCAACAATCGGGATGGAGATGGCGCACGCCTGTCAAGGGGGATTGGGAGGGATAACATAACCAATGTTATACGCTATGAAGTGTAGGTAATTTTTCCTGCAGGGAAACGACAAATGCATTCACCGTCATTTGGATAAAACAGGGCGAGTCAGCGCAGCAGCATGACAGAGCCAGGTGCGGATGCTGCTGCAGGTACTGATATTGCAGTACAGTCACCCATGCCACTGAAAAGGGAGCTTACAGTATAATTTCCTCTACATCAGTTAAATGGACTATTGGTCTTCTTAGATCACCTTGGAGAACGTTTAATGTATCAGCACTGAAGAAATTAGTAGTTTGCAGCATTCTGCAGAGGAAGAAGTCCCTGTGTGACAAACCACAGCAGCAGCTGCTGTGGTTCAGTCAGAAGGGTGTATTTGATACCAGCCTTTGATCTGAAACCAATAAATTCAAGGCAGAATGACCCAATGTAGTAGTCAAAAAAAAGTCAGAAAGATATTTATTTATAGAGAAACATTTATTTTTGTCTCTTTGTGAATGAACCAACAAGCACAAAAGGTTTATATTTAAATGCAGCTGAAGAGCAATAAAGCACACATTTGCAGTCCCCTCCACAGCCAGATGAACCTGCATGGGGGCCCTGAGCAAAGAGGAGCCTTTGACCACACCTCCACCACTCCCCCCACCCGTTTTTTTTGTGCATTATGCATCTTCTCATCTAATAAACAAATTTAGCACAATTTTATTTAGTAATGTGCACCATTTAAAAGTGTATAGTTGTTCAAAATGGACCACGTTGAAGGAGGGATGACCATCATTCATATGGGGGTAAAAAAAGTGATGGAGTAGTTTGAAAAAATAGTTCTCAAAGATCTTGAGAGAGAAATTAATTAATTCCATCCTCACCTCTGCACACATGGCAAACTGCTGCAGGAAGTGAGTTAAGAAGCTGCTCAATCTGACAAGCACTTTGTTCAAAACATATTGACAGATGGCGCTCTGGGAAGCAGGTGCCTGCTTTGCTCAGTCATCTTAGTCAGTAATGCATACGGTTTATGGCTGAGCTGAACCCGTGCCTATTAAGAGTTCTATACAGTTTGTATTCAGGGATCTTCTTGGCTGACTACTGTATCTTGCCACCTGTTTATACATGCAGAGGATGAATAAGTTCAAGCTAAGTTTGTAGGCTACTTGTGCCAGCTGCAGACAGAGTGAATGGTGCTTTGTAGTGGTTGTCCTGTGGCTCAGCAGCAACGGTTGGTGCTTTACACCTGAGGAATCTGACACCCAGATACCAGCAGGACTGTCTGGGAAGGAAATGTCAAAGCTCAGACAGCAGACAAAGATCAGAGGTGTGACTCAGTCCAACTTTATGTTCCAGCTTTGACTGACTGCCACAGTGACCCAGACTGAATCAAGTCCAGTCAGCAGCTTTATGCTCACTGTAAGACGTCAGGCATCTCTGCTGTCTTCAACAGCAGGGCGGTATAATGAAGAGGAAAGCCATCCTTAAAACAGAAACTTCAATGTGTCGTTTCACAGCTGCTCCCGACATCTGACCTTTGACCAAACTGTAGAGCGGGGCAAACAAGAGAATATCTTGGTGGAATACCTTGTTGTGAGATTTTTTTTTCTTAACCGCGGCATTCACGATCAAGAATGAACAACTTCAGCTTTCAAAGTGAGACGATGTAACTTTTAAAATAATTTATAACCAGTCTTCTTTTTACAAATGAAGTTGAATTCATCCGAAACGAATTGAAAACATCTGGATTTTCTTCCATAAGACCTCATTCACCTCATTCAAAAACCCACTGACCTTTGAAGCAACATTAATAACTAAAAATCCTGCTTTAGAATAAAGCCTTTTTAGATACACTAGCTTTTTGAAAAACAATCTAATATAATTGTTTAGTTAATATTTCTTTAACAAATATTTCACAGACGCCTCCAACTTTTGCCAGTTAAACGTTATGGCTCGGCAAAATAGGTGAGTCCATAAGCGAGTAACTAAGTCACAACAAACCAAAGTCTTTTAAAAATTTATTAATAAAAGAGAATAACCAGAGAAGTCCTACAACACAAATCAGCTGGACCAGAGGTTCTGTCTCCTTGGTCTGTCACTAACGTCTGGCCCCGAGCAAAGGGATGCATAATCATTTACACGGTCTAGATTTCTATGTTTTGGAGAACAGAGATCCTCTCCCATCCTTGAATGCACATTAGAGCAGAGGAGAGGAACAGCAAGAAACAAAAACACCAAAACAATCTCACAGCTCTGACCTAAACCCTAGTAAATGTGGACTGCATGACTAACATAAGGAGTATGGAAGAAGGAAAGGTTAAGGATAAAAAACACAATACATATATATCTATAATAATAATAAATAATAATAATAATAATAATAATAATAATAAAAGAACATGCATGAAAGATTAAATGTAAGAGGAAACAATTTTCTGCCATAACATGTTTGTAATAAGAGCTGGACAGAGAGAGATTACACACAAAAAATATTGGAAAAGAATGACTTTACAGGCGAGTGTTGGTGAGTTTTATGCATATGGATGAAACATGTTACTCTGCCACAGTACCACATTGCTTTTTCAAGAATGCATTGAGTAATAGAAAGTTAGTGGAAAAGAGGATAGCCCGGACATGACCTCATGACTTTCTATAAAACACATTCTAGCTCAGTTCAACATACTCAGGGGTTTTGTTGCTGCAACCCTGCTTGGCCTGGTATGACCAGTAGCTTATGGTAGCTAACGTTAACATACTTTAGCTAATACATTTCTATGTAAATGACATGTGTGTGTCAGCTGGCTCCTCTCTACTTGTGCTTCTGTGCCACAACATTTTAGCTCATTCAGGTCACCTGTGATGTCTTTATAGCAACTGACTTGAGAATGTTAAGGAAAGGAAATTCACCGTGCTGTCATCCTGTAATTACCTCTTGTGGCCATACCGGCCGCTGCTTTAGCCAAAGTTACATAATCTCACTTTGGGCCATCTTGGATGAGAAGTCTACGGGGGAAAAAAAGAAAGTTTGAACATTTACAATTTCTTGACAACTGGGCAAACCCCATTTGCTGATCTAGATGTGATATGACTGAAAGCTCCAGAACAGCTACTGAGATGCAATGAGATTTTTTTCTCAAGAGAATATTTATAATAGCTTTTTAATTTGAGAAGGTTCTTACAGGTCGTTTCTTTTACAGAAAGCAGACAGTGCTGATCTGAAGTATTTAGGGTATGTTTTATACAGTGGTGGAAAGTAGCCAAGTACATTTACTCAATACATGTACTTCAGTACAATTTTGATGTACTTTAGCTACACTTATACTTCTAGTCTCCTGTTGTATGGTTGCTTTTTCCTAGGTAGCCTACAGGATGTATTTACACTTTCAACCACTGATGTCAACGGAGCTTCCTCTCCAAAATGGTTGATAACAATAACAACGCATGCAACAGATTTCCATCCCTCAAAATTTCCATGAATTTTGAGGGATGGACTTAAGATAAGATAAGAAATACCTTTATTTGTCCCACAGTGGGGAAATTGCGGTTTGCAACAGCAAAGACAAGAGCAGAGATAGATAAGTGTACAAGTAGCATAAACAAGTGTCAAACAAAGAAGTATCGTACTTACAGTAAATAAAAACAAAGTTACTATACATTAAATAAGACTAAACAATAATTGCACATGAATCAGTAAAATTGCACTTACGAAAATTGCACAAATGAAAATGTTTATTGTACAGTCTGACGGCCGCTGGAAGGAAAGATCTGCAGAATCTCTCCTTCACACAGCGGGGGTGGAGCAGCCTGTCACTGAAACTGCACTCCAGGGCTGACAGGGTGTAGTGCAGGGGGTGTGACTCATGGTCCAGCATAGCTATCAGTTTAGCCAGGGCCCTTCTGTCTCCCACTTAGGCTGCTCTATGTCACCCCGTCCCTCAGAATTTCCATGATACATGGCGGTGAAGAAAGTTTTGTTAAAATTTGCTAAAACTCTCCTATTTGCTTGAAACACAAAAGTTACTTTGTGATTTATATTTTGTTAATCATGTCTGCTTGGAATATAGTGGTTTTGTTGGTAATTGTCATTCTTGTGGTGGTTTACTATTGAAACCAGGAGTGAAGTGCCTGTTTCATTTGATAAGAGCGCTATCGAAGAATAAAATAAACAGTCAAAGAATTGTGCTGTGAAAGACTGAATTTCAAGTACACAGTGATTGCATTTAGAAAGACTGACAACATAGAATTTTGAAAGTAACCACTGCAAGTCAGTAATGACTCCACATTTTGTTAGCATAAAGTTCAAACAAGAAAAAGCTGTGTAAATTCACACGCTATAATATATTAATATTGTGAATCGAATCAATGTCTGGCGCATGAATTGGTACTCTGAGGACTGTCTCTTTACCACTACGCTATTGGATAACAAGGCTTTTTGAAGTATAGCTAATGGTAAAGCGCATTTGCCTTAAAAAACATTTTGTCAGTTGTTTTTTTTGTTACAGCTAGAGCAGCTTAGCATGAAAATATAATGCATGTGTCTGCAAAACAATTACAGAGATAGATAATGCAAGTTGAAGAATTGGGGAGCAAAGAAGACAGAAATTACTACCAGAGTCCACTCAAACTTGACTATGGGCTAGCTATCAATGCAGCCATTTTTATCTAATGAAACAGGCACTTCACTCCTGGTTTCAATAGTAAACCCCCCACAAGAATGACAATTTTCTAAGCAGACACATTTAACAAATACATAAATCACAAAGTATTTGTTTTGTATTTCAAACAAATAGGAGACATATTAGCAAATTTTAACAAAACTTTCTTCACTGCCATGCATCATCGGAGTCTAGCTCCGCCCCGCTAGGTTGGATGAGGAGTCCCATAGGAACCCATTCATTTTA